AATACAGTAATTAAAAAATAAATAAACTTACATAAGAACAATTAAAAATAGAAGCAACAATAATATTATTTAAATAATTAATACAAAAATCACTTTTTTTTTTTAACTAAATATTTACAAAAATAGGTGCCGAAAATCAAATCTGGCAACCCTGTTAAAAACTAAATCGAGTGCGTAAAAACAATAGTGCAACGTTGCCAACATTGACACGAAAATCTTAAAATTCTAAGAATTAATCACTTAATTATAGGAACAACTTTCTACATTAATGTTTTTTTTTTTGTTTTTTTTTTCAAAACCCTGCCTTCCCGATTTAGGATTCATTTGAAAAATGCAATTCCAACGAATTTTTTTTGCAATTCCAATAAATTTTTGCAATTCCAATGAATTTTTATGAATTTTGCAATTCCAATAATTTTTTTGAAATTCCAATAAATTTTTACATTTGCAACGAATTTTTTGCAATTCCTTTGAATTTTTGCAATTCCTTTGAATTTTTGCGATTCCAACAAAAATTTCGCACCTTTATTAAATTTTTACACTTCGATAAAAATTTTGAACTTTTATAGAATTTTTGCAATTCCGACAAATTTTTACAATTTAAGCGATTTTTACAATTCTAATAAATTTTTGCAATTGCAATAATTTTTTAAATTCCAAAGAACTTTTGGAAATTCAAACAAAAAATTTGCAATTCCTATAAATTTTTGCAATTCCTTTAAATTTTTGCAATTCCTTTGAATTTTTGCGATTTCAACAAAAATTTCGCACTTTTATTAAATTTTTACACTTCGATAAAAATTTTGAACTTTTATAGAATTTTTGCAATTCCGACAAATTTTTACAATTTAAGCGATTTTTACAATTCTAATAAATTTTTGCAATTGCAATAATTTTTTAAATTCCAAAGAACTTTTGGAAATTCAAACAAAAAATTTGCAATTCCTATAAATTTTTGCAATTCCTTTAAATTTTTGAAATTACTTTTAACTTTTGCAATTCCAACAAATTTTTACAAATCCAAGTATTTCTGCATTTCCAATAAATTTTTTGAATTCCATTATTTTTTTGCAATTCCATCAAACTTCTTGCAATTCCAAATTTTTGCAATTCCATTTTTTTGCAATTACAATACATTTTTCTGTAATTCTAATAATTTTCAATTCCAATAAATTTTTTCACTTTCAATAAACTTCAATTCCAATAAATTTTTGCAATTCCAAATTTTTTTTTTTCTTTAAAATTTTCGCAATTCCTTCGAATTTTTGCGATTTCATTAAATTTTTGCAATTTTAATAATTTTCACATTTCTAAGAAATTTTTGCAATTTCTTCAATTTTTTTAATTCTCATAAAAATTTTGCAATTCCTTTGAATTTTTTGCAAATCCAACGAATTTTCACATTTCTAGGATGTTTTTTAATTTCAAATTTTTTTGCAAATCCAAAAAATTTTTGCAATTCCAATAAATTTTTGCAATTCCAATAAATTTTTCAATTCCAATAAATTTTTTGACAAATGCAATGAATTTTTAAATATCTAGCGTTTTTTCAATTCCGATAATTTCCCATTCCAAAAAATCAATTCTTTTTTTGCAATTCCAACAAAGTTCTACAAATTTAAGGATTTTTGCAATTCCGATAATTTTTGCAATTCCAATGAATTTCTAAATTTCTAGCGAATTTTGTGATTCCTTTGGATGTTTGCAAATCCAATAAAAATTTTGCAGTTCCAACAAATTTTTCCAATTTTAAATTTTTGCAATTCTAAATTTTTCAATTCTAACAATTTTTTGCAATTTCAGTAAATTTTCATATTTCTAACAAATTTTTGCAATTTCTTTAAATTTTTGCAGTTCCAATTAATTTTTATAAATCCAAGTATCACTGCAATTCTTCCAAATTTTTGCAATTCCCAATTTTTATTTGCAATTGTAATAATTTGTGCAATTTCAATATTTTTTGCCATTCCAATAATTTTTGTAATTCCAATAAATTTCTAAATTTCTAGCGAATTTTCGCAATTCCCTTAGATTTTTGCAATTCTAATAAAAAATTTTTATGATTCTACATTTTTTGCAATTCTAATAATTTTTTGCAATTTTGCAATTACAAATAAATGTAATTCCTTTGAATTTCTACAATTGCAACAAAAATTTTGCAATTTCATTGAATTTTTGCAATTTCAACAAAATTTTACCAATTCAAGAATTTTTCAATTCTAATAAATTTTGCAATTCCAACAAATTTTTACAATTCAATTTTTTTTCAATTTCAAATTTTTGCAAATCCAAATTTTTTGCAATTCTAATAATTTGATGCAATTTCAATAAATTTTCGTATTTCTAACAAATTTTTGCAATTTACTTTAAAAATTCTTTTGTCAAATTTGACAGCTGTCAATGTCAAAAATATGACAATCAGAATCAAATTCCAATATTTTCCCACGTTAAGCACCAAATTTTTCTAAACCATTTTTACGTCACCTGTCAAAAAATTTTGACAGCTATCAGCGACAAAAGAGTTTTTTCCAATTTTCGATAAAAAAATTTCACGATGGTCGCAAAACGTTTCCCCGACCCTAAAAACCCTTTTAAAAAAATTGACATATGTCAAAAAATGACAGCTTGACCATGGTCAAACATTTTTTTTGACATACATATGTCAAATTTGAAAGACGCATTTGAATAGAATTTTTGACGCCCGACTTTTTGGCGATTTTAACAGATGTTACCTGTCACCTGTCAAATCTGACATCTGTTTGCCTCTCTCCCCGCTCTACCATACATGCTACGACCATCAAACTTGGTACATTTTTGCAATTTTAAATTTTTCGTAATTCCAACAAAAATTTTGCAATTCCAACAAAATTTCACAATTCCAACAAAATTTTTGCAATTCCCACAATTTTTTTGCAATTCTAATTCCAACGAATTTTTGCAATTTTTTTCAAATTTTGCAATTCCAATAATTTTTGCAATTCCAAATTTTTGGAAATTCTAAATTTCTGCAATTCCTTTGAATTTTTGAAATTTTTCAATTCCAACAAATATTTACAAATTTGAAGATTTCTGCAATTCCAATAATTTCCTTTTCAATTTCAATATTTTTTTTTTGCAAATCCTACAAACTTTTAGTAATTGAAAGTTTTTGCAATTCCATTAATTTTTCCAGTTCTACTAATTTTTGCAATTCTAATAAATTTTCACATTTCCAACGAACCTTTGCAATTCCAATAAATTTTTGCAATTTTTTTGAATTTGCAATTTCAACAAATTTAAGGATTTCTGCAATTCCAATAAATTTTCACAATTCCAATAATTTTTTTAATTCAAATTTTTTTTTTTGAAATTCTAATAAATTTTTGCAATTTCAATAATTATTGTTTGCAATTCCAACAAATTTCCACAATTCCAAATTTTTGCAATTCCAAAAAAAAATTGCAATTCCAACGAAATTTTCAATTGCAACAAATTTTCTACATTTTTTTACGGTTTTTGCATATGCAATAAACTTTTGCAATTTCAATAAATTATTGCAATTACAACAAACTTTTTGCAATTCCAATGAGTTTTTAGAATTCCAATGAGGTTTTTGCGAAATTTCCAACAAATCTTTGTATCTTAAAAAAAATTTGTTATTCCAAAAAAAAAATTGCAATTCCAAAAAAAAATTGCAATTCCAATAAATTTTTGCAATTTATTTAAATTTTCGCAATTTCAACCAAAAATTGGAAATTTCAATAAATTTTGCAATTCCAACAAATTTTCATAGTTCCACAAAAAAAATTAATTCCAACGAAATTTCGCAATTGCAACAAATTTTCTACAATTTTTTACGCTCTTTGCATATGCAATTCCAACAAAAATTTTTGCAATTCCAACAAAAATTTTTGCAATTCCAATGAGTTTTTTGCGAAATTTCCAATAAATTTTTTTAATCTTAGAAAAAATTTGTTATTCCAAAAAAAAAATTGCAATTCCAATAAATTTTTGCAATTTAATTAAATTTTCGCAATTTCAACCAAAAATTGGAAATTTCAATAAATTTTGCAATTCCAACAAATTTTCATAGTTCCACAAAAAAAATTAATTCCAACGAAATTTCGCAATTGCAACAAATTTTCTACAATTTTTTACGCTCTTTGCATATGCAATTCCAACAAAAATTTTTGCAATTCCAACAAAAATTTTTGCAATTCCAATGAGTTTTTTGCGAAATTTCCAATAAATTTTTTTAATCTTAGAAAAAATTTGTTATTCCAAAAAAAAAATTGTAATTCCAAAAATTTTTGCAATTCCAATAAATTTTTGCAATGCCAATTATTTTTATACAATTCCAACAAATTTTGCTAATTCCAAAAAAAAATTCAATTCCAACGAAATTTTGCAATTGCAACAAATTTTCAACCAAAAATTGGAAATTTCAATAAATTTTGCAATTCCAATTATTTTTATGCAATTTCAACAAATTATATGTCATTCCAAAGAAAAATTCAATTCCAACGAATTTTTATAACTCCAATGAGTTTTTTGCCAAATTTCCAAAAAAATTTTGAAATCTCAAAAAAAAATTGTTATCCCAAAAAAAAATCGCACAAATTTTTGTAATTCCAACGAATTTTTCAATTCCAATGAGTTTTTTGCGTAATTTCCAACAAATTTTTGTTATCTCAAAAAAAATTTGCAATTCCAAAAAAAAATTTGCAATTCCAAAAAAAAAATTGCAATTCCAAAAAATTTTGCAATTCTTTTGAATTTTCGCAATTTCAACCAAAAATTGGAAATCCAAATAAATTTTTTGCAATTTAAAAAAAAAATTTGCAATTCCAAAAAAAAATTTGCAATTCCAAAAAAAAATTCACAATTCCAAAAAAAAAAATTGAAATTCCAAAAAAAATTGCAATTCCAAAAAAATTTCAATTTCGAAAAAGAATTGCAATTCCAAAAAAAATTTGCAATTCCAACAATTTTTTTATCAGAATAACATAAATTGAAAATTACTATTCGTCGAATCGTTTTTTGATCGTATTGTTGTTATCCGCCGTCACTGAATGGTAGCTCCCTCTGGACGGAGTAATGCTGTACTGTCGCCGGTTGCGGTACGTGCAGTACCCTGCAATACCGGCCACTATACCTACTATGAGTACGGCCAGGGCCGAGATGATTATCCAACAGGATTTGTCGTCTGGAAACAAGGAAATTCTAAATTCTAAAAGTCGATAGTTTTATCGATACGGTCGAATCATTGAAATCGATACACAAAAGTTATTTTTTGTCAAATTTCAATTTCAAATGTCAGATAAAACGCTAAAAAAAATTTCATTTGAAATCGATACTTTTATTCCAACATATCGATACTTGTCGATACTCATGATAAATAGAATTATATGTTAGAAATCCATTGCAAATGAAAAATAGAATTCTATTTATGCAAGTGCAAAGTCGGAATGGTTAATGTAAAATCGATAGTTCTATTGGATCGATATCGATAAATCGTATCGATAACTTACCTTCCTCATTTCTCTTGTTGCTGTCATTAGATTTCTCTGTTTTTTCCTCCTCCCTATTCCCAAAACTCCTCACTATAATGAGAGTAGGAATGGGCGTACTAGTACTAGTACTAGTAGTAATGGGCTCACTTTTATTCCGCTTGTAATCGTTTAACAAATCGAGCAACTCGGAGTAAGTGATGTTGTACTTGCTCAACAGCGAATTGCTATTAGAAGGGTTGCATTTGCAAATTTCGCACCCTTTTTTGTTGATCCGGAACCCGTTGGAGCAGCGCTTGTTGCAATCGAACAAGGGCTGGCACTCGCCCAGTATCGATACTTCTTTGTCGGGGCACGATTGGTCCAAACAAGACATTGTTCCTAAAAAAATATCGATATTATTATCGATTCTTGAAAATTGATCGATTACATATTGATTTTGATATATCGATACGTATCGATTTTGAATTATCGATACGTATCGATTTTGAAATATCGATACGTATCGATTTTGAAATATCGATACATATCTGTCAAACAGTAGCACGTTCGTTCGACTTTCATTGGCATATTTTGTCGATATCGATTTTCTTATCGATATCGATTTTTTTAACAATATCAATTTTTTTATCGATATCGATTTTTTTAACAATATCGATTTTTTTATTGATATTGATTTTTTGTCGATATCGATTTTTTGTCGATATCGAGTCGAATGGACTGTTTTTTTCATTCGCGTCGTTTCGAAAAATCGATTTTGAAAATAATTTTTTTGCGCTCGGAAAATATCGATACTGATCGACAATCGATATTGACATTTTGATTTTGAAAATGCATTTTATATCGATTCCAGGCTCTCGGAAAATATCGATACTGGTCGACAATATATCGATTTTTTAATATCGATACATATCGATTTTGTAATATCGATACATATCGATTGTTGGAAATTGATACTTATCGATCATTGAAAATCGATACGTATCGATATTTTAAAATCGATACGTATCGATATTTTAATATCGATACGTATCGATAATTGAATATCGATAGTACAATCCCACTTACCGTTATCGCACGTGCACAATTTACACTGCTCAACCAAACTGACGTTCTCTCCATGGGCGTAACTTTTTCCATCGAAAAGGCATGGTATCGGTATCGATATATTTTCATCGATTTTCCGCTCTTTAAAGTCGCAGTAGTGACTGATGCACTTCGGTTCGCCGTTCAGGCACGTGCAAAAAGTGCACCCCCTGTCTTTTAGCCAAGTTTCGTTGTGTTTGTACATCACGGCTTCGTCCCAGCAATTTTGGAGCGATATCTATGAAAAAAATCGATATTGGAAAAAAAGTCGATACTCATATCGATTCAAATAATCGATATGTATTGAAATTTGTAAATCGATACGTATCGATATTCCAAAATCGATACGAATCGAAATTTTTTAATCGATACGTATCGATATTTTTTAATCGGTACGTATCGATATTTTTTAATCGATACGTATCGATATTTGTAAATCGATACGTATAGATATTTGTGAATCGATAAGAATCGATATTTTAAAATCGATACATATCGATATTTTTACCTCTTCGCCCTCTTTTTTCCTGCACCTCGATATCCCATTCCCGCATTTACAGTGTTGCTGATCGTCCGTCGACCACTCTTCGCCGTTTTCGTAAATGATGTCGCCCACCACGCAGTCGATATCGATATCCTTTTCGTCGACCAACGGTTTACATTCGTAGAGGGGCGCAACAGTTGCCCGGCAACAAAGTGCCCTTTTTTATCACAACGACCCGTTTGGCAGCGCCGCAGTCGGGTTTGCTGCACGGCAAACAGACGCAGTGATCTTCCGGACCGAGTTTAGAGGTGGAGTTGAGGTTGGTCGATTCGCTGTCTTGCGGACAAGGAACGCACCTGGAAGAAGAATCGATATGTATCGATATTTGAAAGTCGATACGTATCGATATTTGAAAGTCGATACGTGTCGATATTTGAAAAGTCGATACGTATCGATATTTGAAATTCGATACGTATCGATATTTAAAAATCGATACGTATCGATGTTCGAAAGTCGATACGTATCAAAATTCAAAAATCGATAATCCAAAATCAATACGTATCGATATTCAAAAATCGATACATATCGATATTCAAAAGTCGATACGTATCGACATTTAAAAATCGATACGTATCGATATTGAAAAATCGATACGTATCGATTTTCAAAAGTCGATAGCTATCGATATTCAAAAATCGATAATCCAAAGTCGATACGTATCGATATTCAAAAATCCATTCGTATTGATATTCGGAATTTGATACGTATCGATATTTAAAAGTCGATATCGATAAAATAATCGAAATTTAAAATCGATTCAAATATCGATTTTATAAATAAGCTCAACTATCGATATCGATCAAATTTCAAGAATCAATATCGTATTTTCTTACCTCGTCTTTTTGCAGCATCCGTCCTCTTCCGTCACCAGCACGGACTTTTTGTCGCAAAGCGCAGGCAGAGGGCAGCGGTGCGGATCGCAAACGCACGCTCCGTCCACCAGATGGTGCTCGAAGTTGACGCATGCGCACGCGCCTTTTTCGTTTATCGTCGCTCCAGTGGCGCACGGACATTTGCCGTCGATTAACGTGTCGTTTTTGCAACCTGGAAATCGTCAATTAACTGTCAAATTACTGTCAGTCAAGTGTCAAAATATTGTCATGTAAATGTCAAATTTTCAATCATCCATTAACTTTCATTTAATTGCCATATTTTCAGTTTTCAAGTAAGTGTCATTTAACTGTCAAAGTTTTAATCATCAATTAATTGTCATTTTCACGTCAAATTTTAAATTATCAGATAACTGTCATTTAACTGTCAAATTATTAATAATCAAATAACTGTCATTCATACGTCAAATTAATTAACAGTCATTTAAGTGTCATTCACAAATCAAATTTTTATTCATCAATTAACTATCATTTAACTGTCAAATTTTAAATCATCAATTACTTGTCATTCACACATCAAATTTTCATTCATCAATTAACTGTCAAATTTTTAAGTGTCAATAGACAATAATATCTGTCAACAATGTCAAAAAAACATTATTCGACAACAGTGTCAAAAAACAATTTCTGTCAACAGTGTCAACAACATTATGTGTTAAAAATATCGAAAAACTATTTTCTGTCAAAAGTGTCAATAAACAATTATATCTGTCATCAGCATGAAAAAAAAAAAATGTCGACAGTGTAAAAAGAAAAATTATTTGTCAACAGTGTCAAAAACAATAACATCTGTCATCAATGTCAAAAAAAAATCTGTCAATAGTGTCAATAGACAATAATATAAGTCAACATGTGTCAAAAACAATATTTGATAACAGTGTCAACAACATTATCTGTCAAAAATATCAAAAAACTATTATCTGTCAAAAGTGTCAATAAACAATAATATCTGTCATCAGTGTCGAAAAAATAAAAAATCTGTCGACAGTGTGAAAAGAAACATTATTTGTCAAGAGTGTCAATAGACAATAATATCTGTCAACAGTGTAAAAAAAATTCAACAGTGTAAAAAGAAATATTATTTGTCAATAATGTCAATAGACATTAATATCTGTCAACAGTGTCAAAAAACAATATTTGACAACAGTGTTAGAAAACAATTTCTGTCAACAACATTATCTGTCAAAAATATCAAAAATACCTTAACTGTCAACAGTGTCATTAAACAATAATAACTGTCATCAGTGTCAAATAAATAAAAATTCTGACAACAGTGCAAAAAGGAATATTATTTGTCAACAGTGTTAATAGGCAATAATATCTGTGAACAGTGTCACAAAACAATTTATGTCAGGAGTGTCAACAACATTATCTGTCAACAATGTTAAAAACATTATGTGTCAAAAATATCAAAGTCCATTATCTGTCAACAGTGTCATTTAAATCATTTAAATCATCAATTAACTGTCATTTACCTGTCAAATTTTTAATGATCAATTAACTGTCAAATTTTCAATAATTAATTGAATGTTAATCTCACTTCAAATTTCAAATTATCAAATAACTGTCATTTAACTGTCAAATTTTCATTCATCAATTTATTGTCATTTAACTGTCAAATTTTTAATAATAAATTAACTGTCATTTAATTGTCACATTTTTAATTATCTATCAACTGTCATTGTACTTTCAAATTTTGATCCAACTGTCATTAAACTGTCAAATTTTTAACTATCAATTAACTGTCATTCACAAATCAAATTTTTAATTATCAATTATCAACTGACATTCACAATTTAAGTATTTATTTATCAATTATTTGTCATTTAATTGTCAAATTTTTAATCATCAATCAACTGTCAAAGTTTAAATAATCGATTAACTGTCATTCACACGTCGAATTTCTGAAAATTAATTTACTGTCATTTGAGTGTCATTTAAAAATCAAATGTTCAATCATCAATCAACTGTCAAATATTCAATCATCAATTGCCTGTCATTCACAAGTCAAATTTTTTACCACCAATTAACTGTCAAATTTTTACCTATCAGATAACTGTCATTTAATTGTCAAATTTTTATTCATCTATCAACTGTCATTCACAAATCAAGTTGATTCATCGATTAACTGTCATTTAACCGTTAAATTTCCGATCATCAATCAACTGTCATTTAACTGTCAAATTTTGAATCATCAATTGATTGTCATTCACATGTCAAATTATTATTCATCAATTGATTGTCTGTCAACTGTCAAATTTTTATTCATCATTTAATTGTCAAATTTTATTCACAAGTCAAATTTTTAATCATCAACCAACTGTTATCTAACTGTCAAATTTTCAATTCACTGTCATTTTTACGTCAAATTTTAAATTATCAAATGACTGTCATTTAAATGTCATATTTTAAATCATCAATTATCTGTCATTCACAAGTCAAATTTTTATTAATCTATTAACTGTTATTCAACTATCAAATTTTTAATCATCAATAAACCGTCATTTTACTGTCAAATTTTTAATCATCCAATAGGTGTCATTCAACTATTAAATTTTTGATAATCAATTAACTGTCAAATTTTTTATCACCAATTAACTGTGAAATTTTTAACTATCAAATAACTGTCATTTAACTTTCAAATTTTTATTCATTTATCAACTGTCATTCACAAACCAAGTTGATTCTTCGATTAATTGTCATTTAACCGTTAAATTTCCGATCATCTATCAACTGTCATTTAACTGGTAAGTTTTAAATCATCAATTAATTGTCATTCACATGTCAAAATAATATTCATCAATTGATTGTCTTTTAGCTGTCAAATTTTATTCACAAGTCAAATTTTTAATCATCAACTAACTGTCATCTAACTGTCAAATTTTCAATTCACTGTCATTTTTACGTCAAATTTTAAATTATCAACTACCTGTCATTCAAATGTCATATTTTAAATCATCAATTACCTGTCATTCACGAGTTAAATTTTTATTAATGTATTAACTGTTATTCCACTATCAGATTCCTAATTATCAATAAACTGTCATTTTACTTTTAAATTTTTAATAATCAATTAAGTGTCATTCAACTATCAAATTTTTGATAATCAATTTACTGTCATTCATACGTCAAATTTTAAATTGTCAAATTTTTAATTAATTAACTGTCATTCATAAGTTAAATTTTAATCAACTGTCAAATTTTTATTAACTGTTAAATTTTTAATCATCAACTAACTGTCATTTAAGTATCAAATTTTCAATAATTAGACAAGTGTCATTTTTACTTCAAATTTTAAATTCCTTAATAACTGTCAATTAACTGTCATATTTTTAATTATCAATTAACTGTCATTCAACTCTCAAATTTTTATTCATCAATAAACTGTTATTTACAAACCAATTTCTATTCATCAAGAAACTGTCATTTAACTGTCAGTTTTTTAATCATTAATAAATTGTCAATTAACTGTTAAATCTTTATTAATAAATTAACTGTCATTCATACGTCAAATTTTGAATTATAAATTAGCTGTCAAATTTTTAATCATCAATTACCTGTCATTCACAAGTCAAATTTGTATCATCATTAACTGTCATATAATTGTCAAATTTTTAATCAAGAAATAATTGTTATTTACTCAATTGACAAATTTGACATTTGAATGAAAATTTGACAGTTAACTGATGACTTAAAATTTGACAGTTAATTAATGATGAAAAATTTGACAGTTAATTTACAGTTAGCTGATTATTAAAAATTTGAATTGTA